CCCCAAAACCCCAAAACCCCAAAACCCCAAAACCCCAAAATCAGATATTTTCTTGAACAAAGTAAAATATTAAAACCCAAAAACAAAAATGCTGAAGACATCAGAATATGCCAAACCCTTAGTAGAGAAGTACAGGCCAGTGACTCTGGATGATGTGGTAGGAAATGAAATGGCTGTTGAACAATTGAAGGCAATAGTTGACGAAGGCAACATGCCTAACTTGATTGTTGTGGTAAGTTCATTCCCTCTATCAACTCCCGCAATAAATTCTGATCTCTCATTTAAAAATCTAGGGACCTCCGGGAACAGGAAAAACTTCTTCAGTAATGTGCCTAGCCAGGCAAATGCTTGAAGGATATGTTAAAGAAGCAGTTTTGGAACTGAATGCTTCTGATGAAAGAGGAATTGATGTCGTCAGGGACAAAATTAAGCAATTTGCAACTCAAAAAGTTAATACTCCTGAAGGCACTCAAAAGATCATCATTTTGGATGAGGCAGACTCTATGACTGAAAGTGCTCAACAAGCTTTAAGAATGATCATGACTGAGTATAGTAGCACTACAAGATTTGCACTTGCTTGTAATGATTCCAGTAAAATTATTGAGCCAATCCAATCGAGATGTGCTATTATCAGATACACTAAATTATCGGATGAAGAAATTCTGGAAAGACTCAATCAAGTCATTGAAAAGGAAGAAATTAAATGTGATGAATCTGGTCTCCAAGCTTTACTTTTCACTGCAGATGGAGATATGAGATATGCTCTCAACAACCTTCAAGCAACTTCTGCAGGATTTTCTGAAGTTACTAGAGACAACGTATTTAAAGTATGCGATATGCCACACCCTGATATCATGAAAACAATTCTTGATTGCTGAAACAGAGGAGAGTTTGATGAAGCAGCTGAAAATGTTGATATTATTTACCAAGAGGGTTACAACATCATGGACATCATCAGTACAATCACTAAACTAATTCAAACAGATGAGGACATTACTGATGAAAAGAGGCTTAATTATCTGAGAGAATCTACTGAATTTAAGATGAGAATCCTTGAAGGGTTGGACAGTCATCTTCAATTGCACTCATATCTCGCTACTTTATGCTCGACTAGATAATTGATTCAATTATAACTAAAGTTCGCGGGGTTTTGGGGTTTTGGGGTTTTGGGGTTTTGGGG